GCAGTTACCCCCCTACTGCCCTCCCCCAGGGTAATTGCCAGCCCCCCCATATCCATGATCTTAGCTGCTCCTGCAGGGACTACTCCCTCCCCGGCTTTTTGCCCCCCCAGCCCTGGCTCTAGGGCTGGGTCCCACCAGATGCCCCAAGTCCTCCCCCTGCTCCAGGATATCTGCCCCCCTCCCCCAGCAGGCCTGAGGTCCCCCTAGGTGGTGGGGGGTGCTGAGGGCCTGGATGCCTGGGCGTGGGGGGCGCTGGGGGCCCGGGGTCGTGGCCAGCTCTGGCGGGCTGAAAGCCCAGCGTCCTGCTTCCCAGAGGGCCTGGTGCCAGGGGCGGCAGCGACGCGCCCCCTCCCCCCACGCACAATGGGGCCTGTGTCCCTGTGGGGGGGCAGGGCTGGGAGCCCGGACGCCTGGGCTGTCTCCAGAGGGCACGGGGCAGGCTGGCATCAGCTGACTCCCAGGGGCGCCGTGCCCAGAGGCCGGGGTGATGGGCCCCCTGGAGCAGAGAACCCAGGCGGCCAAGCCCTGGGTGCGGCTGTGGCTGGGGTGGAGCCTCCCCCATCATGGGAGGCAGGATGGGGCAAGTCATATTTCTGCCCAGGCTGAACTTCCTCCTAGGACACCTGGGTTCTCTTGGAGGAAGTGGGGGGAAGGGAGCCCGCACACCTGGGTTCCTTGTCCTGCCTTGCCCTTCAGCTGATCCGCTTTGGGCCCACGTCTAATCCTGGCCAATCCGTGACCCTCCCCCACCTCCAAAATCTGCCACCTCCCTGGAGCTTGTGGGGAGGGAGGGAGGGAAGCCTGGAGCCCTCCCCCCCAACACTCAGCAAGCACTGGGGTGTTGTATGCAGCCCCCTCCCCCGCTGCTGCACCCCAGAGCTGGCAGCGTCTTGGGCTGGGTAGAACAGGCTCTGTGGAGGCAGCTGGCTCTGGGGTGGGCAGGCCCCGCAGATGTGGCTGGCTCTGGGGTAGGACATATCAGGGGCTGGGTAGAACAGGCCCCACAGGGACAGCTGGCTCTGGAGCCTCTGATCCTATCCCATGGGCTGCTTTTAGCTCCCCGCTGACGATGATCCAGTTAATTAAGCTCCCCCCCCCCAGTGCCCCAATTAGCTCTGGGACCTAAGAAGCTTTAGCCTTCAGAGCCGCCCCAGTGACCTTCGCGGGGTGGTAGCCCGGACACCCAGGTTCTCTGGGAGGGGGGTGGGAGCCTGGACGACCTGGTTCTCCCTGCAACCTGCGCTGGGAAATCTCAGCCAGGTCGTGTGGCTCATGACTATTTAATGTCCAACCTGGGCTCTGCTGCCAGGATGTTACCTGAGATGCACACATGTGCCACCCCCGAGCCAGCCACCTCATGGGTCCCCCCTGAGCCAGCCACATTGTGGGTCCCCCGTTGCACCTTCCCCAGAGCCAGCCGCATCGTGGGGTCCCTGTTATCCCCACTCCTTGATTTGTCCCACCCCTGAGCCAGCCGCATCACAGGTGCCTGTGATACCCATCCCTCCCCTCCCCAGAGCTGACCGTGTTCCCGCTGGGACTCCAGGGCCCTGCGTCAGCTGCCGGCTGTGGCCCAGGCGTCAGCAGAAGTGCCCCAGCCCTGCTGCTGACACAGCTTCTCCCGCCCTTGGCTCCGTCCTGGTTTCGGGCTCTCCGAGGTCGTGGTGGGGGCAGGATGTAGCCCTGTCCCCAGCCCCCAAAGAACCCAGGTGTCCAAGTTGTCAGTCCTCACTGCTCTTGTACCTCGCACCACCCAAAGAACCCAGGCGTCCAGGATGGGGGCTTCTCTCTAGTCTGGCAGGAGAGGGGTGGTCACCCAGGCGGTGGCAGGGTCCCTGACCCTCACCCTCTGGCCTCCGCCCCCCCGCCCCACAGGCATCCCACTGCTGGGCTTCCTCGTGCTGGTGCCTCTGAGTATCCCATGGGGGCGGCTGTCAGCGGCCTGGCTGGGGGCCGTGCACTACCTGGCCTGCATCTCGCCCCAACTGGGCAGCGTCCTCTACCACCTTTTCATGAACCATGAGGGCGGCCCGGCTGTCTACCACACCCTGCTCACCCTCGACATGTGCGGCGTCTGCCTCGTCAACACCCTTGGTGAGCAGCCAGCCATGGGGAGAAGGAATCGGGGCTGGAGAGGAAGTGCTAGGCTGAGGGGGTGGGGTAGGTCATGTGGGGGTTGGAAGGGGTCACTGGAGGTCAGGGTGGGGTGGGTAGGGCCTGGAGGCATTGGAGGGTCATTGGGTCCTGGGATGGGTGGGGTAGGAGGGATAAGAGGGGAGTGTTGGTGGATGGGGGACCATATAGGGACAATGTGTGGGGATATAAAGGGCCACTGGAGGTTGGGGGCTAGGGGTGAGGGTTGGGTGGTCTTGGGGGACATGGGGGAGAGGATAGGGTAGATGAGGGGGCCAGGTAAAGAAGGTGGGGTGTTCTGGGACACGGGAGGGGTTGGGGTAGATGCAAGGACCAGGTAAGGGATGGGGGTTCTTGTGGGACCGTGGGGAGGGGATGGGGTAATTGGGAGGACCAGATAGGGAATGGGGGTCCTGTGGGAC